TTTTTTTCTGAGGTTCTCAGGTTCAGAAGTTGCAGTGGGATTTGGGGAGCAGGAATAGAGGGAGGGTGCCTGACCCCTTTCGTGCCTCCCCCAGCTGCAGAAGTTCACCCCCGTGGAACGCGGCCGCTCTCAGAGATACCTGGCCAGTTCTGGGGGCTGGGGACCCATCAAAGGTGAGCCTGGGACTCCACATCTCCCCCTCGCCTGCCCCGGAGTCCGCTGGGGTGGTACTGAGGGCAGCAAATAGGCCCCGGAGCTCCGAGCAGCTTCAGGCCCCTCACAGCCCTCCACACCCATGCCCGCTCTCACAGAATACAGCTCCGACCACCAGGCGGCAGACATGGCCGAAATAGACGCCCGTCTGAAGGCCTTGCAGGAATACATGAACCGACTGGACACGCGGTCGTGACCTTGGAGAGGGAGCACTGCCCCTCCATCCCCTACCCACCTTTGGATTTGGGTGGGGGCGGGGCTGGCATGCTTCCAGCCCCGCCCCTTCTGGTGCTCTGGGGTCTCAGGTGTGTGAGGCCCTGGCCCCTCCCGCTCTCCCAGGCATTGCGTGCTGGGAGGGTCTGTGTATTTTGTAAATAAATATATTTGCCCTTGGAATCCCTCAGGTGATGACTGAAGAGTGGGGGTGAAGGGGGAGGATGTGAGAATTGGGGGAGACTGTAGTTGGCACCTGTGTGCATTTCCGGGCATGTTGGTGATTGGGGGACAGGTTGGGGTTCAGGCTTAAGAAAAACTCCCATACTCTAAAGCAGTGTAAGGGGGGAACTGTGGGGTAGTAGTGAGCAGCCTGTCCCCAGAGGGGTCCGAGTCGAGATTCTGCACAGGAAGTCTCTGGCTATATGGTGGAGAGGGGTGTCTCACAGCATGGTTCGCTGCCTAGGAGGACCCTGAAGCTGCTGTCGGTGACATCTGGGCTGGCTTGGTACCGATTCCTGTGTTCCGACCTGAGACCTCTGGGTTCTGAGCTGTGACATTGCTTCTGAGCTGGGATGTCTGGGGTCTTGGTTCAGAGTCAAGGCCTCTGGGTTCTGAGCACCAGCTGGAACAGCGCTGGGAGGCGGGGTACAGCCGGGGTCTCGGTGGGAGGAAGGTTTGCGGCGGGCGGGACGCGGGAGCCTAGTCGGAGTTGACCTTTATTGGGGGGTATGGGTTTCTGACGGGGTGCAGATAGGGCCTCACGTGCGGTGTCGTGGCCACGTCTGGATGATTTCAAACAGCCGATCTCCTGGCGAGAGCATCTGCTGCATGTTCCGGTGTCCTTTGACCTCATCGTTGGGGTGCAGGATGCCTTTAGCCACACCACCAGCCAGCAGACTCTCGGCCGCCATGATTGCCCAGGGTGGGGGTGTCCACTCTGGGTGGGGCTGAGGCAGGTGTTGAGTGAGGGCTTCCTCAGAGGGCAGGGGAAGTATGGGGCAGTAGTCCCAACTGTGTCCTCCCAGCTGGCCTGCCAGGGCCCAGATCCCGCTCTGCTGTTCCCTAGCACTGACTTAACTGCTCTGTGCCTCAGTTTCCTCATCTGTGAAAGGAGAGACTAGTGGTCCCTGCCACAGGGATATGGGATCATATGCTTTATATAAAGCCTGGTATGGCAAATGCCAGCTGTCATCGTGATTGCTCATTCTCCCTTTCCCCTAGGCCTTTGGGTCCTACCCACAGCAATGCTATTACCAAGCACTGCTTGGTGCCATGGGCTGGCAGAGGAACTTTCCTATAGATGAAGTAATCCTCATCCGAACTGTGTGGTTGAAATGGTTATTACCCGAGCGGGGAAACGAAACTCGGAAAAGCAGAGTCATTTGCGCGAGGTCACAGAGCTTGTAGGTGGCAGTCTCCCAATGACCACACAGCGTTCTGTGCTGTCCCCGAGGCCCGTGTCAGCTCCCGATCCTGACTGGCTGGACAGTCCTTCACCCATGGTGTTGCCCATGAAGGTGATGCCGATGGATTTGAGGTTCCAGCTTGTCCCTGAGTGGTCCCCCTTGCCGGTCCAGCCCCGGTCGTCATACACGATCCCGTCTTCTCTGATCAGGAAGCGGTGGGGGTGGGGGGAGCGGGAGGGTGATGAGTGAGGGAGAGCCTCCCGGGAGAGGACCCCTCCCCCTCCTCCACGCACCCCTGCCTTTGTTCCTGTCACACGCAGTGTCCTCACACCCTCCGTGTCCCCTGTTCTCCCTCAACAACTGCAATGACAGTGGCCCCTGCCGTTCCAAGCACAGCTCTATATCACCTTCTTCGTCCTCGCAGCGACCCTGCCCCCATCCTATAGCTAGAGAATCAGAGAGGTGGAGTGTTTCCGAGACGCTTTGGAAGAAGAGTCGGAGACTGGAAATGTGTTATTTACGTGGATGAGGGAGAGGAGGAATGGCCATGCTAGCATCCCCCACCCCTGTCTCCATGGCCT